ACCGCGACCTCGGAACGGGGGATTTTTAGTCAGTAAGAGTCTGACACACCCCCTTTTTGATTTTCCCCTCACAAAAAAAAACTCTTTCCGATTACAAACTAAGAAAGTATATATGATTATTACTTTCTTAGTTTATTTAGACACCACTGACATTATGGTGAAGGAAGACCTCGTAAGGACCCTAATAAGAAAAAAATAAAAAAGAAAATTCTAATTAGAATTTTGAAATGGCCAATCCGTTTTGAGCAAGTGCTGTGATTACTGCTCAAACCTCCTCCGACTGAGAAGCCTTTACTCAACAGTGAGCACTGATAGGCTGGTAATACGCTTAAAATCCATTAAAACACCAGAATCTTCCCTTATGTAAACAAAGCCTTGCTTCAGTACGAAAAAATTAACAAGTAAATAAATAATCTGCATGTCTTTTCGTAGTACTTTTCATCCAACCTACTTTTCTCTACAAAAAAACTAGACTATGATGCATTTAACGTCTCAGTCGATAAGTAATATTGTTATTTTGAAATGTCTCTTGTCAAAGCGTGACCGGTTCACGGACGATTGGCCGCTGAGCAGAGAGGTTGAGTGACTCAGACCTCACACTTGCCTTACTCGATATCCTCGCTTTGTGAGGAAGGACAAGGTTATTATCACTTTCCTTTATAATTGTGTAGTCATAAATTAATAGATACATCCTTAATTTTCTGTTCTGTGGGTACATCCTACTCCTAGTATCGTGAGAAACTAGTAGGTATGCACTGAATTTTCTTTTCAGATTTTTTGATAAAAAAGTGGCTTCAATCGCGTTACCCGAAAAAAGTAGATATTCCACACTGTAATCTATCTCTGTTTCGGATTTCATCTGAATCTATTCAGTAGTTCTTACGTAAAAAGGCAACAAATATATTTGCATGCATCGATTTGAGAAACCATTTTTGCTAATTCTTTTAAAACTTTTTACGTTATATTTCTAGAGATTTTCATAAGTAATATACCTATTTCATTTAATGCTCTTGTTAATAAGAAGGATAAGCTACATAAATAGCATCATCTAGATTTATTGAACTGGTTCGTTGGCAGTCAAGCAAGCATGACTACTGAGCATGAATTTACAGTCTATAATTAGGATAGCTTTTTGCAAAATTGAATTAGTCTAAGACAGCACGTTTTTGACTAGTTACTGAGGTAATTACTGGATTATAAATAACAGTGAGATTAACAGAAAAACTATTCTATTCGTAAGCATCTATCACCATCAAGAGTGTGGTGCACTCTTTAAAAGGCCAGGAAAAGCAGAGACATAGACACAGGCTTAAATATACGTACATTGAGTAAAATAAAAACAAAAGAATATGTAATTTATTTAATTGTTACATTGTTAATATGAAATAAACTATGCAAGAGCCATGCTTCGGCACAAATGGGTCGGCGCGACCGGAGTGATACCTCGGCCGCACAGAAAATTGCCATGAAACAACCACAGCGTTGTGTGTGTGTTTCGCCGTGTGAGTGAGGTTACCCAAGGCCCTATCCTTCCTCTCAACCAATCCCACCCCAATACCTAAATCTGCTAATCCTTTATCTTCAAAAGGTCAGCAACGCACTAGTAACTCCTCTATCGTTGCGGGTGTCTGTGAGAGGCGCTGATTGATTACCATCACTTAAAAATTATATTGAAAATAATGGCAACCAAGAGTGGGTCGTGTCAATATTCAATGGATGCAAACCTGCATTTAGTGCATAGTTTATAAATCGGATATGTACAGTGTACACGGCTAAGTAATGGCTTATAAGGAGAGATTGGAATATAAATGTCGGACTTGACCTACTAGACCTACCATTATAATATCACTCGATTATCTACCGAGAGCATACTATTGTTTCAATTTAATATTATCTGTGGACGCTATTGTTGTTTTAGTGGTTTGAGAGTATTTTATCTGTGCTAATTTAGAAGTCCTTTTTATTATAAAGTACGGTTTAATGTGGAAGGCTTCTCATGTATTTTTTAAGAGCCATATGTTAGTTGGTAGGATTAGGTATTTAGAAACTGCTGACCAACGGTGAAGAAAAAGATGGTGAGGAAACCAGGGTGTAACCTTGTTATCTTGCTTCATTGTGGGTAAGAGACAGAACTAGGCAACTTGTATAGCTCTTTCTCTTACCCACACTGAAGTTAGATTTAAACTTTGAACGTCATGGTTAGTTCCCTGGACTTAAATATTAAAACCCTGATATCTCCAATTCGTACTTTGTGCTAAATTTCCATGTAACAGAAGGCTTTCGCTCAGCATGGGCATTTATATTGTGATATTTTTATACATATTATTGCACACAAAACTTAGTACTTATATACTAAGTTAGCACGAGTGGCTGTAGAGAAGGTCTTTTTCTCTGAATGGGCAAACTTTTCGTAATTGTGAATGAGGAGGAGTTGATGCTATTCTTGAGTTCTTGACTGCTTGCCATCAGCTCTAGTGCTCCGTTTACTCATTTGCCACTTTATTCCATAAAGATGCAGTTTTAAGGTTATTCTTTTTGGACCCGACCGTACGGCGCGCATTCTCCAAGCGCCTCAAAGAGCCAATAGACCACCACAGATGGACTGAAGTTCAGCCGGGGCTGCGGGATAAGCGCAATAAGGTACCTCAGCTTGGAGCAGGAGAAGAAGCGGGGAGTTTTTATTTAGCAAGAGTCTGACACTCACGCCAGAAAAGACATTTGATGATTTTCCCCTCACAATAACAGTGTTGTTTAATTGTTCGTGTATTGAAATAATTTCAGTATGTAGATTAATATATTAAAAAGCTGCAGCCAAGCCATCCGTCACGTTAATTATGAAGTAATGTGTAATGATAAGAGGGATTTAAACTCTTTGATAAGATTATAGCTTAATAGTCGATCACAGTGCTAAATATAATGATGGATTTTAGATTATTAATGTTCCCTTATTATCCTATGTAGGATTAAAATAGTTTAATGTTTTATACATATGTATAAGTGTGTGTGAACCCAACTATATACTTAGAGTAAATTTTACCTTGCTTAAGTTGTAAAGCAATTTTCCTTACGTTTTATTTCCTAAAAGGAAAATGTGAAGGTTTCACTGACGGTTATTTATAACTCACCTATCGGCACGTAATATTAAATGTCATCATGGAATTTAAAAGAAGCTCCTTTGCCTTCATTTTTAGTTACAATGATCCATAATGCTCTAAGACTCTTAATGCTATAAACATTGTTTCAGTACCATATACTTGCAGGCGAGGCATGACGCCGGTGACCTTACGCAATTCCGGGTGTTAGGGTACACAATGCAAGCTTCCGTTCTCTTCTGCAGTGCTAGTACTTGAACTCGTTATCTTCATATTTTTGACAATGTTACTTCCTTTATAATTACTTGTAGAAGAATATTTTTCGTCTCTATGTACATTTAATATTAAGTTCTCCTCTTCCTTCCTAGATAGGTACCTTCCTACGCTATGGGAAAATATACTGACCATTTTTTCTCCGACCAGTCTTTCGATTTCCCAATACATTCACAATACAATACAATTTCAGTTATTTTCTATACAATAGGTAAACATCGTGAGAAACACACACCCAAACAGACAATACGTACTAAATGATTCTAAACATAATAATAACAGGTATTGGTCGGTATCTGAGATCAGTTAGGCAAGCTCGACGTCAGTGAACGTGAAGCCAAGAGCCGATTGCGCACGAAGACGCCATTTGTAAGTTTTGCAACGGAGTCACGGAAACACCCGAGACGAGGATCTTCGGAATATGATATTTGAAAATCGAAAACCTCTTTCGTAAAAACTTTGGGATAACTCCTGCTGAGTTATGTTCTCCTAGTTATACCAGTGCTAATAGAAGTTCTGAATACAAAAAAAAAATATATATTATATAAAATCTGCTTCTAATTTTAACTAGATCTAGAAAAAGTAAAGATCCTACGGTGGTTTTAAAAGGCAATGAAATTATTTTATCATCTAAAGAATTCCTTGGAACTTTTCTTTTCTGAAGGCAATGTCAATATTTAAAGTTTCTTTACCTAAACTAACAATGACACCAGTATACCGGTTATCGTACTAGCAAAGATCGGTTGTTCCTAATTACAGCCGGGATTGCTCAACTTAACTGGTTTGGTTGTTGTGCAATCTCTTGCCATTTCTGTGAGCCTGGTACTTTGGATTATAAAGTACCGGTGTGTCGTGTTCAATTAGGAAGAAAGATTTATTTATATTAATCTGAATGTCTTAGAAACTGTTCTTGTATTTGAAATCAAATTCTAAATACTAATTAATTAAAATAATAGATTTAAGATTTAATACGCATTCTTTTTCAATGATCTTGTACCCAGTAGAAAATGCGAGGTCCTTTGTTTGGTTCGTTATCAGTTCTATACACGCAGGTTTCAGTGTAAAAAGCATGTGATTCATATACAATCTACTACATTTATCTAGACTCATAAATGTCCATTAATGCACCAGGATCTCTATATAAAAAATAATGTTCAATAATTGACCATAACATAACTCAATGTCGTCGACCAGCGATCACGTGAAAAATAGTTCAGTCACCTTTTATGTCCACCCCTTTGTCTGTCAAAGCCTTCACTCAAACATAGTATTGTAATTTACTGCTTATGACACAGGTCGTAGTGGTTAAATTCCAATTTAAAGCTACACAAACGATCATCCATTTTCACATGAGCTATGATTATTTGAACCTGTCGAAGTTATGTGGGTCAATTTGTTTTGGGAAATAATAGGGTGGATGTCCCGATTGCTGACTCTTTGGCACGCGATCATCAAACGAGGTGGTGGTAACAAATGTTTGGTGAAGGCATGTGATGTATTTATTATTTTGTTCGCGCCATTTTTTATGAACCCTGTTGTAGGTAAATTAAGGTTAAGCATCTGTGAAGGCAATTTGTGGTTTACACGAAATGTTTGTGTAGTTTTTCGTTTTTAATATTTTTCTTTTTGTTTCAGAATGCGCGTGTTGGATGGCTAGATTAGACAAAAGGTGGGATTTTATTATTTTGTTTATTTACTTTTAATGGTAGAAGTTATTCTTGAACAAGTATTGCATACATGTTATATCTTATAAGATCGTATACAGTCAAACAATAGGAATCAGGGAGGCGAGCGATAAGAAAAAAGAAGTTAGTCAATTTTGCAACATCTACTTGCATTACTTTATCTAGATGTATAAAACGACGAATACAGAATTATCTACATCTTTCTGCATAAGTACATACTTTTTATATCAAAAAAACTATGAAGCGAGAGCTCACTAATGCCAAATGTAATAAAAATACAGGCGGATCCTGAAATCCTAGGTACAACAATAGTATTAGCATTAAAATCGCTGCTTTTTTGGTTAGTTTGAAGTGGATCGCAGGAGACGGAAGGAATAATGGTGGAAGTCAAAAATAGGTACTGTTTGGAAGATTAATTAAAAACTGTCTTGATTTGAAACTGAACTTATAATCGCTCTTGCTACCGAAAATTTTAGAGGATTTTGGTAGTATCTTCCCCTTGGAGACTAGTTCAGTTTTAGGCCAAATCCACCTTTACCATCCAGCAATAGAATCAGCTTGATGCAGCATCATGTGACATTTCATCGTATGCTACATGTCGTGCGGCGAGGAATGGCCGCGCTAGAGAAAGCGTAAAGCGGCTCGCTGGACCGAGACCCACGCTCTGCTCATCACACGACAGGGCTGTCGCTGCCGATATCTGATTTATTACTGCATCTTCCTTGTTTAGATAATTTGTAATTTGTGTACGGAACACACGCACGATTGTGTGACAATATGCTGATAGATTCAAAAAACTAATATGAAGTCCAGTCTTTGGTTTAGCTGCTGTTTTACTGCCTTACACCCGAAGTCCGAAATCCAGGGTTATCCAGAAACTACGACCTGTTTTGAAGTCTTTGCCTAGTAGCAAACGGTTCCAGGCTGATGATAATGAATGAGAAAAAGACCTTGTCAATTTTTGTTACTTTTCTAATGTCTAGTACGCAAAATGTTCACAATTTGGTCACATGTACTTGCTTTTTAGCTAACGTAAAATTAAAACTATATACGAACTGCCAAGCAGTAAAAGTTTAATGTTTTAATATAGTAATTTTCTATCTTCCCCGAGCCAACCCTAAGCAGAGAAGTCGCAGTGCATTCGTGAGCGATACTCGAGTAGTTTACTATGTCCCGTGTTTTTCCAAATTATTCGCACTAGTACTAATGTGTAACATACAAGTGGAGAAAGAAGGTTCAGTCCTCAAACTATAATAACTGGTGTACAGTACCGCCACCGTATCTTGGCGAGTCTGAAGTTAGCCGATTAGCTGCCCAGTACACAATTGTTCCTAAAAGATCCATTGCGCAGACAAACGGCTAACTTCAGACTCGCCAAGATACGACGGCCGTATAGCTATTGACGCACGTTTTAGATGAGAAGGATGATGAGGGGAGGATTAACAATATCACCATTCAAGTTAATATGACCTTGGTTTTATAACAAACCATTTTATCTGGCAATGCCTGTTTCTAAATTGTAGATAAATATTATGGTATTTTAAACATCTATTGCGATGAAATTCCGGACTTAGCTACCTTGTTTTTTGGGGGGTAAAATAAAACAAGACTATAAATCGCGTTCTTTCTCCTGCTCTAGGCCATTATTTCGCTTCCCCATGTAACTCCGGCATCGGTTCATGATCTTTCTGAAATCTTTTTATTCTATATATGTACTATAACTTTTGCTGTATATGATACTAAACGTCACAAAAAGTTTTTATGATAGAAAATTTTTGAAAATAGCATTTAATCGAAAAAAGAAACTTGGAAAATAGTTGATACCCGCGCGATGTGGGGGCGGAATGCTAGCTTTTCAATATTCAAATATCATTTATTTCAATTAGACCCTTATAGACACTTTTGAACGTAAAACAAAATTTAAAGATATAAAGTGTCAGAAGCTATTTGCTTGTTCCATAGAGTAGATTCCTAAGGAGAAGAACGAGCAAGAAACTCCATGATTCCTTATACAAACAGTTGGTTGAATTATGTGAGAACTGTGTAATAATATATGTTTCATACAGGTTTAATAAAGCGGACCTTCTGTATATCTATTTCGCGTGTCATTGTAATGTGTCTATATAGATATGCAGATACAAATGCCATGAACAAACACAATTCTGTTTGGTTTTCAATCGTGGTTCAGTATTGTGACTTCAATGTTTGTATCAAAACAATGTGTGGCTAATTTATAGTTCACAGAACTTACTGATAGCAAATTATTTTGTTGCAGTTGTTTGTAACATCAGTTGTTTTGATGTTATGTTGCAAGGTTTTCCTAAAAGATCTTCCTTATATATTTTAAAAGATTTTGAGAACAGATTGATGTAATTATCCGTTGAGATAAAAATTTAAGAATGCAGTATAATTCATTTATTATCTTCTCAATTTCTTGGAAGAGGGTTTAGTAGATATTTTCTGAAGATAAACTTAAGAAATAAAATATTATTTTGCCTATTTCTTCTTTCTTACAGTAAACGGAAACGAAATTATGACGATGAGCAGAAAATTTGCAGGAATTGCGTAAAAAAAATACGAAATATGATCTATTTAAATGTTTCTTATGACGATATCATTAAATCTGTGGACATAAACAGTATAATATCATGATATTTGGCAACTGTGCATTATGCATGCGACATGTCACAAGTTTCGACAGCTTACGTAAAGCTGCTTTAGGACATTATAATAGTATGCGCAATCTTGAGCTATTTAAATGCAATTTCAGTAATGGCAAATGTTTTTATTTAGATTTGCAATAATTATTATGGAAAACGGAAAACAAAAGAAATACCTACAATAATTACCTTTGTTGCGTAATTTGACAATGATAAGAAGAACAAGAAGTCTTTGGCAAGAATTTGTTGGAAAAAATTCTGATATAAGTATTGACAAGGAGGACTTAGGGGAGATGGAGATGATCTTTTGAGATTCATAGGTTTTGTAAAGAATATACATTTAAATTCGTGGACTTTATAAAGTCCTTTGTATATTGAGAGTATGAAATCATCTTATGTGTGTTGTACAGGCTTCAATTTAAATCCCCCTGCACCATTTCACCACCGAAGACACCGAAATTCCTCCCCACTGTACCACTCTATTCGCCCCCTCGTTCATTATGCGTACTGTTAAAATCTTGAATTCTCTCCCCGCGTCGCTGTTCCCAGACACGTACGATCTTCAAGGGATTTTCAAGGCAAGAGTGAATAGGCATTTTGTGAGTTTGTGTGTTCCACCTTAGACCCCATCATTGTTTTCCATCAGGCGTGATAGAGGTCAAAGGCACTCAAAAAAACAATACCTAGTAAAAAAAAATTCTTCGTTTATCAAGAAAGAAGGTATCCTTTGTTTTTCTGAGGTGGGGAAATCATCAAATCATCTTCTCTTGCGCTGAGTGAGGCGAGAGGAGTGACTCTTACTGACTAAAACGAACCTCGTTGCTCTAGCGGTTCATAGATAATAAGTGCGCTTGTCCGTAACCCTGGTCGAATGTGTCTTATTACTACTTACTAATATTTAACTACGTAAGTATGCGTTTTCCAATGTTGTAGCTTTAAGATTTACAAAACAAACGCGACAATTTCAGTCGTCTGTTTGTTTTTGTAACCTTACAAGTAACTTACATATTATATGTATAATGGATAGGTACTTGTACCATATTATTATTTGGTTGCAAATATACAATTAGAATTTAGACCTTAACAAGTGTAGTAGTAGTAGTAACAACAATAAAGCACAGTATTACGTACTTCCTCATGAAGTGCGTAGTCGGTTTATTTGTTATCCAAATATTACATAAAAAATACATAATAAAGAAGAAGCGTAAACAATTGATTTACAAGCTGAACTACTCTACCGTATACGAATCAATTGATTAAGCTTTTAGTATAATATACTGTATCAAAACCAAGATGAATGAGGATTTTAATATCACTGAATTAACTCGGTCAACAACCGAAGATGTCATTTGATTATAACGTAATCTTACCGATTAGTTAATATTAATTTAAATATCTGATAAATTTAAATAAATTGACGATTAACACTTCCTGATCTTGGCGCTCTTTATTACATTGATTACGTTTTGAGAGTGATGAAAAATGATTTTTTTAAGAAATCTTTTTCGTTCGTTTCAATCGTACACTCTTTTTAGAGTGGTATGTCCTTGGTGGCTGCCTTTGCGATTTCTCTCCAGTTGTTTCTGTTGGTGGCATTCCTCGCGCTCTCCACAATTTAGCTAAAAATCTTTAAGGTGATTCTAAATTTGGAATTTATTATCGAAAATTTACAAATAAAATCTTATATCGAAAAACAAGAGAAGGCAGGACTTGTCGGTAATACGAAAGCTAACGCAATGATGTCAGTCAGCCTGGATGCTGGAGAAGGAACGGGGTAGTTTTAGGCCTGTAAGAGGTTTACATTCCCTCCTGCCTATGATAAAGGAGCCAAGGCAATGAGGTCTAGCAAAATATTACTGGAGTTGTAAACCTTAATAACGCTGTGGTTTCTGGAAACATGAATGGTGTGCAGGGCTAGAGAAGATAGATTTTCTCCCTCGCAAAAAGGACTTTCATAACAAATCAGCAATTTGGAGGCTATATTTAGAAACCAGTCTTCATCAATACTCTTACATTACAAACAGGTAAGGCAAAACGGCATGTTTGTATGTAGGTGGTATCATTGGATCCAGCTCTGGTTCCATTTTCAAAATTCTTTCACTGATAGATAGCAACAATATTCCTGTGTGCTATAGCCTATGATGTTGACCAATAGCAGCCGAGCAGCGGGTGAAACCGCGCGACAGAAGCTAGTATCAGGTAATGATCAATACAAATAGTACATTACATAAAACTATTCACAACACAATCAACATCAAATCGCTAACATCTGTACGCAGCTATTAAATACAACAGATACACATCAATGGAATAATACTGATCAT